GGAGCCAGACCTGTGTCTTCTGTGCTGTTGGGGACATGGGTTACAGATCATTGCAGAACCCCTGGATTGGGTAGAGGTCCCTGTTCCTAAGAGAGAGGATGTGGTTGAGGAGCATCCAGCCCACCGAAAGGTCACCTCTCCTCTGCCATTTACTTCATGGAGACCTTGGTGTCCAATGGGGCACCTGGCTTCCACTGCCACTCAACAAAAGTGATGGAGGCACAAGTGCCAAACACCAGAGGCAACAGCAGGAGGGCCCAGGGACTTTTTTTGGGGGGTGGTGGCTTCAGCTGTGCTGAAGACACTGACATCTTCCTAACCCGCGTGATGGAAACTTGATACACTAGACTGGATGGGAGGGGTGGTGAAGCTACCCCTGATGGACTGGCGGAATGGGAGTGCATCTGGCACTCCATCGCTTCTTGTACCCCATTCCCCAACTTTAAAAAAGTTGAGTTCAAGCAGCTCTAGAAGTTTGGCACTTAAGGAGACCCTGACCGAGGATGAACTCCCTGCCACCCTCATCTTGGATGGGGGACACAGTACTCACACAGTGATTTATTTATTCAGTGATATTTCTAACCCATTTTTCCAGTACAAAGTAGTACAAATAAGATCAAACAGAAAAATGGGAGATACTGTATACCATAAAACCACTGAAGTAGGTGCAGTCTATTAAAAGGATAGTTAAGGATAAATAAATATTAAGTGGCTTTATTTGGTGACAGATTGTTCAGAAGCTGTCAACCTAGCTAGATGGATAGCTCAGTGAGTTGGAACAGCTGGCTGGGATCATGAGTTGGATTCCTCACTGTGCCTACTGAGAGATTGTGTGGTTTTGCGCACACACCCCACCCTGGAAGAAAGGAATGATAAATCACTTCTCTGTGCTCTGTACCTTGAAGGGGCTGCTGTAAGTCAGAATCAACTTGATGGGGCTCAGTTATTCTATTATAAACATTTGCGCGGCAGAAACACACAGTGTGCTCAGTGGGAGCTACTTCTAAGTAGGTCCATGCTGTCTTGCAATGCTAAAACTGCAATCCCACATACCAGGAGTGAGGAACTTTTGTATGGCAATTCCCAGATTTGGCTCACTAGTTGAGCTTAATTTTCTTTTCCAGGTATGCTCTCATTAGTGCTTATTTCCAAATGGCTGTTACTGTTCTCATTGCAAGGCATAACTTCCAAACCTCCTGGACCTAACTTGCCCTCACTTGATTAAATCAAGTAAGATATTCCATCCAATTTGTCCAAGTTCCTGAGCCTCGCCAATGCAAATTGATTCAATGGGTTGACAAGGGCTCTGTGTGTCTCTGTGAATGGAACTGCGCTAAGTGAAGGATGCCAGTGGTGGGGTGTAGGAACCTGCCCTATGCTCAGATCATTGCTTCATCAAGCCTAGACTGGCAGCTGGTCATCACATTTTCAGGTAAGATTTTTTTCCTAACTGTATCTGCAGAACCCTGCTATTCCTTAGTAGTTCTCATCCAATTCTGGACCCCCCCCCTTAGCTTCTGAAGTCCCCTGAGATTAAATGTGTTCAGGGCAATATAGTGCTGAATTTGTGCTTGGATTTTCTCTGGAGGTTTCCTGCTAATCTCTTGGAGCAAACCATCGAGGGTATAATCAATTTCTTTTCAGAGTCTGAAAGGGATAAGCCTTCCGCCTCCTGAAACAGGGAACAACATCATAGAGGTGCATGCAACAGAACTTGAAAACACTTCTTGGCCATATCTGCCATAAGATTGGGCTTTGTAATGAATTCTTTCATCGGTCTTTTCCCATTTGTTATCCAAAGTGCTTCATCATCTATAGTTCTGAGGAGCTACTATAGGTCATCGAAAGAGAAGATGTTTGGGCATGACCTAGGATGGCCAAATGTGACAGGAAGATGCTCCTGTATCTTTAATATTTTTGTTAAATATTTTGTGAAAGAGGGCACTTCAGCTTCTGTTGCAAGGCAAGTATTTAAGGTAAAAGGATCTCTGTGCCCTTCCGTTCACCTGGGAGAAAAGGCCTCAACTGTACAGCTTTGAGGTTTAGCTGGTCCTAGCTTCACTCAAGCTTCCTGTTATTGGCCCAGGGCTAGCTGGGAGCTTTCTTTCAGAACAGGAAACTAGGCTGAGCTGAGCCTCAAAGCCTTCCAGAGACCTTTTCTCCCAGGTGAGCCACATTTTGCGGTCTGTAAGATGTGTGTAAGTCAGACAGAACTCCCAGAATGGGGAATTATTGGATTTGTAGTCTAGGAAATCAGAAGACCCTGTCTCTAGCGATTACTATGGATTACAATCTCCTAAAATACATTCTGAAGGTGGAGGGTGATCCCTACCGTACTGACCTGGCAGAACATTAAGAGGAGCAGGTAACCATTAACCTCTGCCATGCATAATGTAGATGAAGCTGGATAAGGACATAATGTCCAAGGTAATGGTTTGGGGAAAGCACTGTGCCAAGTGTTAATAATTTCCAAAGCTTTCCTTGATTTTTTTAAAAAAATATTCTGGAGTCGTTTTTGTTGCAGCAGCTTCCAAAAACTAAAGGTAATGGCTTCCCTTGACAATTTAAGTCCCATTGTGTCCAATTCTAGGGACCGGTGCTCATCCCCTTTTGTAAATTGAAGAGCCAGTGTCTGCCTGTAGACACTTTCTGTGGTCACATGGCCGGTGTGCCTAGACAGGAAATGCCATTACCTTCCCACCGAGATGGGATCTTTTCATCTACAGTACTTACATTTGCATGCTTTAAAACTGCTAGGTTGGCAGGAGCTGGAACAAGCATTGGGAGCTCATCCCATTGCATGGATTTGAACTGCCGGCCTTTTGATCAACAGCCCAGTGGCTCAGCGGTTTAACTTGCAGCGCCACCTGTGTTCCCTTCCAAAAACTAAGTCACATTTACAGTATTTACATACACTAGTTGTTGCCCGTTAGAACTGGATATGGAACAAATGATTGGTTCAAAATTGGGAAAGGATTACGACAAGGCTGTATAATGTCGTAATATAAGCTCATTTAACTTCTATGCAGAACATGTCATGCGAAAGGCAGGACTGGATGAATCCCAAGCTGGAATTAAGATCGCCGGAAGAAATATCACCAACTTCAGATATGCAGACGATGCCACTTTGATGGCAGAAAGCGAGGAGGAATTAAATAACCTCTTAATGAGGGTGAAAGAGGAGAGTGCAAAAAATGGTCTGAAGCTCAACATTAAAAAAAAGATCATGGTCACTGGTCCCATCACCTCCTGGCAAATAGAAGGGGAAGATATGGAGGCAGTGACAGATTTTGCTTTCTTGGGCTCCATGATCACTGCAGATGGTGACAGCAGCCACGAAATAAAAAGACACCTGCTTCTTGAGAGGAAAGCGATGACGACATCTTAAAAAGCAGAGACATCACCTTGCCAACAAAGGTCCGCATAGTCAAACCTATGGTTTTTCCATTAGTGATGTATGGAAGTGAGAGTTGGACTATAAAGAAGGCTGACCACTGAAGAATTCATCCTTTTGAACTGTGGTGCTGGAGGAGGCTCTTGAGAGTCCCCTGGACTGCAAAGGGAACAAACCTATCCATTTTGAAGGAAATCAACCTCGAGTGCTCATTGGAAGGACAGATCCTGAAGCTGAGGCTCCAATACTTTGGCCATCTCATGAGAAGAGAAGACTCCCTGGAAAAGACCCTGATGTTGGGAAAGTGTGAAGGCAAGAGGAGAAGGGGACGACAGAGGACGAGATGGTTGGACAGTGTCACCGAAGCGACCAACATGAATTTGACCCAACTCTGGGAGGAAGTGGAAGACAGGAAGGCCTGGCGTGCTCTGGTCCATGGGGCCAGGAAGAGTCGGACACGACCTAACGACTAAACAACAATTTGTTGCTGTTATGGTGAAATAAATAATGTTCCAAAAACTAACCCACATTTATTTTTTTCAGCATTACCACAAACACAATGTACGATGCATTTAGACTTACTGATTTATGCAATGTTATTGTTCTGCATCAGTTTTTGTGGAGTATAATCTCAAGAAGTGAACTGCAGTCCTCGAAACCTCAGACAGAGGATACTCAGTGGGTTCAGAGAGCCCACGCCAAAGAGCCAGGAAAAGTGGGGTGGGTGGGGAACGCTGCCCCTTGCCCCAGTCGCCAAAATGGCTCATGATGGCTACGCCAGAGGCCCACTTCTTCAGAAGCACCCACTTCTAAAGCTCTGCTCCAGCTGCCAATTCCCTGTCAAGAAGTGGAGAGGCCTGACCACCCACTCCCACAAGGGACTTTTCAGAGGCCTTGCTGGGATTTGAACCCAAGCCTCCTGAGTCCTAGCCCATCGCTCTATATCCCCTGCAGAGCGGCCACCAGGCAACACAGGGCTCTTCTTCTGTGCCGCTGCAAGAGAGAGGCGCGACGCCCGGTAGTGCATCGTTCCGTCTTCCAGGGGGCACAGGGCTCTGCTGCTGCTGCTGCTTTTGCACGGTGCACGCGAGCCTTTGCACCGTGCACCGTGCACCGGGGCCGCAGCTGGTTGCCCCCAGCAGAGAGCCTCGCCGCCCCCTCTCCCCCCCCTCCGGGACCCGGAGTGCCCAGGATGTCCTCAAAGCCGGGGGCGAGGATGATGTCCTCGAAGCCGGCTCCTCCTCCTCCTCCCTCGCTCCCCCCCTCCCCTTCCACGGCCCCCTTTATTTGCACAGAGATTGTTCTGTTTGTCCTGTGCAGAATGCAGAAGGGAACTGTTGGCAGAAAACTGATAAATGGAGGTAATCCCCAAAGCTGATCATTGTCTTGCCCCTGTGTTCCAAGAGTTCTGAGCTGCAACCTACCAGTCACCATAAAGCTGCCCTTGGGTGCTACCAACTTTATCTTGAGAGAATTCTCATGCCAACCTGCCAATGGAGAATAAATGTGACCAAAACTGACCTAAAGTGCCCATCAAAGCATAAATTCTTTCATTTCACCTGATTCAGTATGCACTAGGCACCTCTACAAAGTGCAAATAACCGACATGTCTTACAAAATACAGGTATATCTAATCGGGCACACTTGGCACCCCCACTGCGGGAGGGCCTTCCTCCACATCACCCAGGGGGCCCTGGCCGAGTCCCTCCGCATCTATGGGACCCTTTACCTGGTAAGAGAGAGAGAGAGAGAGAGAGAGAGGTGCTTCCCCCCCTTCCCCATAGCTTCCTTCCCCACAGCTTTGGGGTGGTGGGGTGTGTGTGTGTGTGTGAGGAGGGCTGGAGGGGTGAGGTGGAGGGGGCTTTTTTGTGGGGGGAGTTGCGAAGAAGGGGTCCCTGGAGTGAGTGGGAAGGTAGGGGATGGAGGGCTTCTGGATGGAGAGACATGGGGGGTGGGTGGTCTGTGGGGCATGATTGGAAGGGGAGGATGATGGGGGTGAAGGGCACCAAAAGGTGAGGGTGAAAGGAGGCAGTTGGTTTGCCGGGGGTAAGGGGCTGGGTCAGAAGAGCCTGAGATGCAAGAAAAGGGGATGTAGAGAAGGCCTGGCATAGGCATTGGCATAGGTTCTTTACTTTATTTGGACTTAATGTTCATGTCTAACGTTTTTCCAACTGGTCTTTGTACAGAAATTAATTTGAAGGGTTTTGAATAGATAAATAGTTGCTGGTGTGTTCTCTTTCCATGTGGCATCTTCCCAAGGATAGCCTTGATGGGCTTCCCAGGTGGGCTTCCCATCCAGGTGCTATTGAGCACCTGTGTCAGCTTAGTTTAGGCAGGGCAGCTCATCTAGAGTGAGGGGGAAAAAGTAACCTTTATGGGTAACCTTTATACCCAGGCCAGGGGTTGATATTGGCAATCTTATGCACTGCCAAGTGGTTTCCAATCTGTGGTGAACCTAAGAGGGTTTTTTGAGATATGGTGAGATATTCAAGCTGGGGTCTACCTTTGCCATCCTTCAGTGAGTTTCCACAGCCCAAGAGGCATTTGAACTCGGGTCCTCTGATCCTAGCCATACACTCTGTGCACTGCCATAAAATTATGGTTTCCAAGCCCTTCATGCACTAGATGCTTTTCAGACCGTGTATGCCCATATGTTAGCAGATTATGACTGTAAAATATTACGATGAGGAAAGCATTACATGTGCACTGCCCCGAATAGTTCTGTACTCTAATGGAATGGTATATAAATCTCAGAAACAAAAATAATGATAATAAGAATATGTAAGAGGAATTTGAATTAAGGAAGGTGGGTCTGGACTTTGGTAGAAGACATAGGTCGTAAGATAGAAAGGTGGTAATGAAAGGTCTGGAATGGACTGTGTATCCCAACTATTGCCTGAGCTTTTAATATGAGCAGTCCTTGCTGATGAGGACTTTTGCCCTTTAGTCAAGGTCTAGCCACACACTCCTGATTCCTTTTTCTGTGCCAGTTGCCTTGGTGGGAAAAAACTCATCTCTTAAAAGTATGACACAGAGAAAAAAGCAGCAAGTTTCATTGTAACGGATCAGTGCAGGACTCCAAGACCTTGCTGCCAGTTTGGGAAGTGTGAAGTGTGTGTGTGAATTCATGCAAATTTTTCAGGGCTAAGGTATTTGTTTGGTAGTCATATGCTTTCAAACGGTGTTGAAAGCTTTCATTTTGTGTTCCTGTGCATGTAAGCACTTCAGCTGCCAATTCACTGTTATCTCAGTACATGTCCAGATTTTAGTTTCAGATGAGGACTCTTTGTTCTGTTCATTAGTTACTCAGATCCGTGCAAGTTTTGGCTTTGATCCGTCCAAGGAAGATGTGTTGCGATGCAGCAAAATGGGTTAGATTGGGAATTAAGAAAAAATAGGGAACATAGGAAAGCTGACCTATACCAGATCAGAGCACTGATCCAGAAGTCTCAATATTATTTCTATTATTTACTCTGACTGGTAACAGGTGTCTAGATTCTGTTTTGATTAGGCTGTTTTTGTAGCCCTAGCCCCATCACACTAATGAAAAACTTTTTTCCACCCTTAAAAGTAGGTGGCTTTTGGTACTCAAATCGTCAAGGTACTGTACAGTGTTTCTATTTTAGGTATGTTGCAGTGCCCCTTTGCAGTGTCTAATAGAAAGACAAACACACACAGATAAAACTGAACCACAAAACCCAATAATCTTCTTTTATTTTCTTTCACTCTTTCACTTACTTGATAGGCTTTGTGACCCTTGGATTCTTTCAGGGTGGAAAATTGGTCTGCAGGCCCACTGTTGCCCACTCTTGTGTTAAACCAAAGGTTCTGCAACTGTACCTAAAATATGGTCAGGTTATAGCCTCTCTAACTGAAAATTGTTGCTTCCTATTCAAACTTATTCACAGAGCAGATTTGCGGTGAAGGGGTTATGTGCATTTGGCATCAAAAGCTTGAGATGGCTATCACAGATTTCAGGTACATTATCACCAGCGTTGCTTTCTCGGTTATTAGCCTGGTGAACTGAAATTTAATGCAATATGTGGTGATAGATACATATGAAGGTCCCAAAATTGGTGGAAAACATTACATGTTTTATATAGAAGATCCCAGATGTTCGGTCCTTGGCATCTCTGTTTAGACGGATGTGTACTGTGTTGGGAAGACATCGCTTGAGAACTTGCAGAGCCATTGCCAATTAGCTTTGCCGGCATTACTTTCTATAATCTGCGGTTTGTATGTTCTGTATTGTGCTTTTGTAAGCTGAACCTGTATGTACATGTTAGTTATAACAAGGTGGATTTGACAGTTAAAATAGATTCACACGTCAGCTTTTGTGTGCATAGTTGATGCCTTAGCAGTATTTAATTACCCTGCAAAGATTACCTTCTAATCTGAAACAACACAGGCATGAACAGTTTATTTGCAGTAAAGAATTTATTGTTCATATTAGGGGTAGAAAACCTGGTCCCATACAAATTGTTTGGACTATAGATCCCATAAAATCTGAATATTGGTTGTGCTGGCTGACCCTTAGGAATGCTGCAGTCCAAATATCAGCTCCTTTCTCCTGAGACTTCAGTTCTATGAATATTTGCATGCAGGAAATTCCATTCAACTTGGTAGGACAGAATCATGGAATGGTTGAGTTGTAAGGGACCTTGAGGCCATTTTATCTACCCTTCCAGTCATGGATGGCTACTGAGTCTCTGTTTGAAAACTTCCAACCAAGGACAGTCCACTGCCTTTACCAAGGTAGTTTGTTCCACTAGAAAACAGCTCTTAGAGTCAGATACTTCTAAGAAAAGCAGCATATCTCTGGATGCATTCTTCTTCTAATAAACTTTAGTATATACAGAGTAATGTCAAGGCCTGTGTAACTCAAAGATCACGGGGCAATCAGAAACCCTTTTTTACAGTTTCTGATTTTCTGAATGAGTGCAAAATAGTCTGCATTTTCAGTCCTTTCCTATATCTTTGTGGGAACTTTTAGTGACTGACAATGTTTATCAGAAATGGAAGTGGGGAGAAGTGAATTACTGTCAACAGCTGTATATTTCGTTTCCTCTCCTTAGATTGAAATATGCAACATACATTAGTCTGCAGTCTTTCTATTGCAGCTAACCACAGTGTGTTCCTATTTGTGAATTACTGAGAGAAAAGGAATTAACAGGGTGCGGAGATTTGTGGATGTGGACAGAAGAAGGAAGTAGTGGAGATGCATTGGTCTACAGCTCTATTGATCTACAGTACAGAGAAAAATGGGGAATGCTATGGGATGTAAAAGACTGCTTAGTGATCTGTGGGTGGAGCAGTGGAAAGCAGGGAACCAAAGGAAGTCCAGAAGGATTATGAAGTGTGCTGTGGGTTGAAAGGAACAACATAAACAGAATGTTATGGAGTTGTAAATGAGATGGGTAGATAGAAATATCTGGGGGAAAAGACTGTTTGTGAAGAGTATGTAAATGTTAGAATGTGCCTTATCCTGTACTGGTCTGTGTAGCTGCATACTCTCAAATTTGAGTGCCTTTCCAGTGTTTCAGGCAAGGTTTTTTCTTAGCTTTATGTGATGTTCTGTAGTATTTACTGGTAGTCTCTTTGGCTTAGGAAATGACATGAGATCAGGTGTGTTCAAGGTGGTGTGTGGTCTTCCTTATTCACAGTTTTGCCAAGAGGGAGAATGTCAGTTGAGTGAAGAGACACTCAAGTATCTTGGCCTGTTGACAAGGTTTGGGTCAACCGGTGAGAAAGTTTTCTGTGCCTTGGATTTGAACAGTGGAGAGGTGGCTCTCGTGCAGCTATGTATGTAGGTGACCTATTTCTTTTATCATTGAACCTAGAATGTTAAGGGAAGCTTTCCCCAGGGAAATGTTATTGTATCCAAGCTGGCCTTGTACAGTACCTCAAAGTGGAAGCCAACTTTGTTCTTTGGAACTGTGGTTCCTATTCCAAGAGTTCTATTTGTGCTTTGCCAGCCAGCGATTGGAAAACTCAATTGTTCCTTCCATGACCTGAGAAACAGAAGATCCAGGAGTACTCAGAATGTTTGGGGTGATATTTTGAAAGGTCTTTCTGTTTCGTTGTGTATGTGTTCATGATAAACATGAGTTAATAAGGTGAAAGATTTCTGTCAGTATATATGCGAGCAGCAGCAATGTACGCAGCCTGACCAGTTTTGCAAAAACTAAATTTGAGTGGAAGACGAATCAAGGAGAATCCTACCTCTGTGTTCCAATATGTGACAAGAAGTGTTAGGTTTTTGTTTTAACTTTTTCGTCTTGCTGTCCAGTTGGTTACTTTTCTTCTGAAATGTAAGATTATCAGGTGTGGCCACACTAACGTTGACGGCTGGAGCATGAAAAGCTGTTGGTTTGTTGAGATTTTGAGAAACAGGGAAGGAATAAGCAGACAGTTATAACAATGAAGAGACAGAAGAGGTAGAGTCCCTTATAGATTTGTATTGGTGCATGTATTTGCTTACACTTTGTCCGTAAAAGATCTGGAGTGAGACGATAACATTTTCAGAAGACAGCAAATGCTTCAGAAAGGTTGCAAGTCAGTCTGACTGTGAACAACTCCAAATAATTTCTCTGAACCTGGAGCCAAAGTCCAAGTTTTTTGAACTCTGGCCAGCATAATCTGTGGGATTCTGGGAATCCAAGCAACAACTTCCAGTCTTTGCTTTGAGCTGGACAAATGGCAAGTGTGGCAGTATATAGGAAATAGGGTACTCCGAACCAAAATATTTCCAACTTCCATGTATGAACTGATGGCAGCTATACTAGTGGTGAACTGGTTCTCTACAAAAGAGATCCTTTACTTGGTGTGCAGTGACAGTAAAATTAACATTAAAATTTAAAATTTTTATATGTAAATCACATAGAATAGTACTTTGTACTAATCGGGCGGTAAACAAGCAAACTTATGTTTCTGAGATAAACACATTTCTGCATTGATTAACAGAGGGGACTCTACCTCTTAGTCCCAAATCTGAACTTAAATTTAGGTTAATTAAGAAACCAAGGTAATAAACTCCTGTTGTATGAAGAAATCAAAAGCAATAATAGGTTTTTAAATTTTGTATTTTAAAAAAAGACTGATTTATGTAGGTTTATAAAAGTATGTAAACTTTTCTAAAATAAAACAAATACTAATTCTTAAAAAATAATATGCTAATATTTAATAATCAGAATTTAAGCATGTTAGGCCTGCAAGTATAGCTATAATGAGAATCAATCCAATAAATAAATTAATGAAAATCCTGATGTATAGCTATTCCTGTGTCATTTGACGTTACATAGGCCATTGTGAAATTTGCACCAAGGCAGACGTCTTATCCAGGAAGCAGTTCTTCAGGCTCAGTTGAAGGATTCATTGTATGTTCAGTTGCATGTGCTCCATATCTGCTCTCACTAATGCTTATATTTGCAATTGTTATTGGAGCTTTTATTTGCCATTTCCCACACAGTTTTGGGGTCCACTGATACCATTAATGTTGAAGTTTCATTAAATGGTTTGGTAGACTGGTATTTGTTAGATTTAAAGGAGCAGTGATGGGAAATGGGTGTAATTTACGCCCCTTAGTGTCAAACCCACGCATAATGAGCTTGTTCTAGCCTGTCCTCCCCTGTGGCATTTGAAATAAAGATGGGTGTGTGTATGGGAGAGAGTGGAAGGCAAGAATTTAGTATTAACAGTAGCAAACTTTATAAGGCTCTTCCACTCACCAGGTGGTGCACAAAGCGTATTCAAAGGTAACATATAAAAATATAAATTCCCTACAGCATTAGTAGCGTAGTGTTAGAATTGCAGGGTTGATGATGATACCACGAAACTGTTCCAGGAATCATCTCATAGCTGCAAAATATGACTTTGGAGTTGTGCCTGAGAGGAATGCTAGCACTGTGGTGCTAGTTTCTGCTTCTTCTAATCTCTCTTTTCTCTTTGAATTTGTAGGAAATTTTACTTAAATATACTGAAATACTGTCAAGGCCAAAATCTTTTCTCTGAATATAGACAGTCATCTTTAATTATGGATGAGAATTGTGGTGTATGTATCAGGTTTTAAACATCTGGTAAAGCAATACACCAGGGTCGAGCTTCCTTTATTCAAATGCCTGGCATCTGTTGAGCAATAACTTCATTTTATTGTGCTTTACTGTTTTCATAAAGATGCTTACTAGATAGAATTCAGGAATAAATAGTGAGTTGGTTCTAGTTTTATGTGTATGCCACTTTCCCACTTCCTGTATCTCTTGGCAGCACTTCTAGCCCTCTACGTTACAGGAGATCCTTAACAGGTGGTCTGTAGTGTTTGTGGGTGGGGAAAGTATCCAGTATTAGGTGGAGGCATCTTCTCTAAACAGACCCCTTCTGGTAGCCGAACACAAATCCTAAATCCAGTCCTCTTACCTTTTTGGTAATGTTAGCAATTGTTTCCCTGGCTCAACAACAATAACTAAAATCTCTTCTGGAGGAGGTTCTCAAGTTATTTTTAGCAGATGTCAAATAACACATGTACTTGCAGGTGGGATGGACAGCTGTGTTTGGGTTTGACTCAACATGGTGTGTTTAAGTGTGCACATAAGTGGTGGCCAAATCCTGTTGGATATTTACACATGCACAAGAAGAATTGTGGAATTTTGCAGTGGCAGATTGTGGCCAGATGCACCATAGGGTGTGTGGCAGATATGCATACAATAACTTGTTAGTTAGCTGCAACAACACACTTCTTATGCATGCTTAAATAATTGACTTGGATTATGGCTACTTTATCAATATCAGTCTCTTCATCTGTGGGTATTACAGAGCAGGCTGTGCCTTTATTCCTCTGATCTTATCTCGGCCTTCATTGTAGCATTGTGAAAAGATTGACTGTTAGCTTACTGTAAGAAAAACAAAAGATTAGCAGGATAAGAGAGGCCATTGTGGAAACTTCAGAACAAACTATGTTTTGAGCACTAAACTTGCATGCTATAAGAAAAAAAATGTGTTGCTTTCTCCCTCTCCCATGTTTCAAGCTGTAACATTTTTTATAGAGAGCATAAATGCATTTGATGTGGCTTTTATGTCTGCTGCAGAGTTTATAACCAGAAACCAAGCCACTTTGAAGTTCTGTTTACTGTTCAAACATGTATGTGTGTGCATACATATATTTTTTTCTAGTCAGTACTTACGTGTGGGAATACAGTGGTGCGTCGCATTACAACGTTAATTTGTTCCAGCGAAATCGCTGTAGAAGAAAACATCGTAAAGCGAAAAAAACCCATTGAAATGCATTGAAACCCCTTCAATGCGTTCCAGTGGGGTCAAAACTCACCGTCCAGCGAAGATCCTCCATAGCGTGGCCATTTTCGCTGCCTGTGCAGCGAGGAATCCGTCCCAGAAAACAGCGGGCGGCCATTTTGTTTACCCGGCGACCATTTTGAAACCGCCGATCAGCTGTTAAAAATCATTGCTTTGCGAGAATCGGTTCCCGAAGCAGGGAACCGATCATTGCAAAGTGAAATTCCCCCATAGCGAACATCATTTTGCTATCGCTTTTGCAATCACAAAAACATCGACGTCAAGCGGTTTTGTTATTAAACGGAGCGCCCGTCTTGCGGGGCACCACTGTATCATCTCTCTCTCCTTATACAAGTGGTTTGTTTGGGAGGGCAGGATTGATCTCAGTGATTTTTGTTAGCAATTCACCTCCATCCATCTGGAACAACCCACTTATATAAAAGAGAAGGAGATGATATTCTGATTCATATTCTCATGCATGGGAATGCTGGCAGGATTGAAGTGTAATGCTAGCAATGATCACTGAGCTCAGTCCTATCTGTTTACTCTCACCCTTCCATTCCCAAGTAAATTTCACTGTCCAGTTGTTGGTTCCAACTAGAGTAAACCTGTTGAATAAACGGGGCTTGATACATTAATATTTCTGTAAGACCTATTGTTTCATTGTGTCTACTCTAGCCCATGCAAATCAGTGGGGGTTGCTTCTAAGTATGCACCTGTAGAAATAGTCCTGGTGAGTGAAACAACTCTGTTAATGATATTTATGGACTGTTGAACTGATTGTTATCTTTAACATGTGTACATTTAAATAAATACCAAGTGTAGGATTTTTTTGGGGGGAGGGGGAAGTGTTAAGTACACTCTCTTGCCTGCAAACGCACATATTTGCAGTGTTACAAGATTTAAAAGTTTGTTCTTTTTAATCCATTATATCTTGGGAAATTGTAGCAAAAGGTAATTGAAATTTCATATGCCTGTACTCTATTGAGAAGGACTGTGTGTATAAAAACAGTGGCACAGAGTTTCCCCCCCTCTTAGCTCGCTGTCCAATGTGCGGCTGAGAAAGCAACTGTGTCCTAGACTTGAGGAAGCAGAAGAGTGTGACAGATGAACAACAATATGAATAGGCTGGTTTATTTGATTGCCTACAATACCTTGTTAGTTACCTGGTTTGTGTGATCAGTACAAGAGGCTTCCGACCTTAATAGGAATTTCACGATGATTCTTCAGTTTGGAACACAACGTTCAAATGTAATCATTGGCAGAAAGCTTGTTGGGTAGGATCTGCCCGCACAATGGGAATGGCATCATCGACAGTGGCAGATGACTGCTGATTAAAGGCTTTCTTTTACGATTTCTGAGTGCATGTGACTTTTGTGCATTGTGTAAGAACTGTGCTCACCCTGAAATCACAAAAGGAAGCCAATAACTTTATTGCCATTGTGCACACTAGGATTTTATCCATTGGATGTTATGTTCAAGCAAGTTGCCAACCTTTTCAAATTTCTTAATAGTTCTGCAGTTTTGTTTGCTCATTTCACACATAAAGTTCTACAAATAACTTTATTTTTTTGGTTTTATGGCTGCTATAATCCTGGAGCAGATTACATTGTCTGCATATCTTTCTTCTAATGCTTTCCCCATTCTCAGCATACTGCTTACCTCATGGCATTTTGTTGTAAACAGGGGAGAAGAGTCTGAGCTCACTGGATGAATAGGAGGCTAAAAATGTAATAGAGAAATAATCCAATTTATCACATCTCTTTCAGATTGCTGCAATTCTGCGAAAGCGAAAACTTGACTATTATTTGCACAAACTCCTCCCTGAAATCCTGCAATCAACATCCTTTCTCACAGCAAATGGAAGTCTGTATATTGCATTTTTCTGCATTTTAAGGTTGGTTAACTTCATCTACAGTTTTGTCAAAAATAGAGGATAGCGACATGTTCTGTTGCATAATTTATGTTCAAAATATTACTGTTTCACTTTGAGATTCACAAATCTCAAAATGCAACTGTACCATCATTATTTTATTTATTTATTTATTGCAGCTCCATCCCATCCCTGGGACATACAGTGGTGCCTCGCAAGATGAATTTAATTTGTTCCGCGGTTAATGTTGTCTTGTGAAAAATTTGTCTTGCGAATCACGTTTTCCCATAGGAATGCATTGAAATCTAATTAATGTGTTCCTATGGGCAAAAAAAGTCAGAACAAAGTCAAATTTGGTTTACAAAGGAGGAACAAAAAACAGAAAACATTCTTCTTGCGAAGCGCGGCCATAGGAACATTTGTCTTGCGAGTCATCAACCCTGTTGCCAAAACCATTTGTCTTGCGAGTTTTTTGTCCTGCGAGGCATTTGTCTTGCGAGGCACCACTGTATTTGCTGGAGTGAACAGTGTAATGTTTGCATATTTACACTGTTCTGGATATGTCAGGCAAAAACTGTTTCCTATTTGGTAGCTAAAATGTGCTTGCTCACTTTCCATTGAGGGGATCCTGTGGAACAGTGTAAATGAGCCTATTTTCCCCGCAAATGAGAAATACCTTTTAATTGTACATCAGCAACTTACAGAAAATCTCCTCCAAAATACAGTATTGTTAAGTGTTTTGTTTTTCTCTCCAGAGTATTGTGAGCTTGAAAAGCTTTTTTACAAAGTTCCAAATTTCTTCTCATTTAGCATTTTGGCATACTAGCTATTAGCTATTAACATGTGGGATGAAAGACTGTCACATAAGAGCGGTGGGAAGGGTGTTCATAGTACAATTGTTCTGTTTATATCTTCGCTTTCATGGATTAAGAGATCTTCTGTAACTCCCTAATTATGGACTTCTCAAAAATGATGTGCAAATGAATTTAGATGGTACAAAAGGGCACTGGCTCTTTGGCAAGCGTTGGGGAAATAAAATCGGTCCCTAGACCTGCTGAAATTGCTCTTCCAGATGTTCTTGGATTAAAACTCCCAGAAGTGTTCACTACTAGCTGTTTGCCAGGATTTCTGGCAGTTGTAGTCCAAGAACATTTGGGACCCAAGGTTGGAAAGCACTATTCTAGAGCATAGAGGGGAATGAAAGAGGTTTAATTCAGGAAAACATATCCCTCTGCTGTCAGGAGTTGGAGCACTGCTTGGGTAACAATTGAGTTTTCTTCTTCAGAGCCAATGGTTGTCTCTCTTCCAGCTGAAGAAGTGAATCTGGGGAAAATTCCTGGAGGCTAGATACTGATGAAGGAAGGAACTTGCAGTAAGCTTTTCAGTGTCACATAGGAAAAACGTAAAGAAGTTCAGAAAAAGTTCCTTGCCTTTAAACATTTTAAAAACCGCTTGCTTCTGAATCTCTGCTGGTAATTTATGACCTAAAAGGGGGGGAAAACCAATTATTGTAGGTTCCTTACTTGGTTTATCTGGAGACCCTCTTTCTAGTCCTGGCCTGCCAGGCAAGTGGTGGGAAATCTGAACTGGAGAGCTGCTAATCTAAAATAGGAGGAAAAAAGTGTGGCAATTTAATGTTACAACATTCAGTCAGTGCATTCACAGTAGTTTACCTTATTTATTGGTTTTTCTAACCAACACCCATGCAAAAGACTCAAGAGTAGGTATACACACAGAACATCCAAATGAAAAACAGGCTGTTCAGAAGCTTAATCTTAGCCACTGAATGCTTCGCTCAGTTGGTTGAAGTGGTTTGCAGTTGAGTGGAGGGGATAATCATAGTTATGGCACAGACATCTGGAATATAGTGCTGTGGGTTCTTGTTTATACTTCATGAGAAGGGTTATAAAGGGTTTCTAGAAGGCAGTGTTGATATTCTAAGAAATTGTACAGGAGATGTACACACTGCACAAGCTGTCTAGTTCTTTTACTGTTCAAACCAGTATTTCCCAACAGAACTTTTTTTGCTGGGTGCTAATGAACTTTTTTGGCACAGCTGAATCAGCCTGCAGCTTGTTGTGGGTTATTAGATTTATCTTATTATTGTTAAAATGTATGTTGTATTTTGTATCAAAGCTACACAACTTATCTACCTCCTGGCATGTTACAGCTATTAATTTTGTGAGGTCCTCTGATGTACTTGTTAAGAAGATCAGGAGATAGCAGTGGGTTGCTTTTGGCCTGATACAGCACATAAAAACAAGCATGTGTACCACATTTACCCCACTGTAAATTGAAGCGAAGTGGTTGCAGTCTTTGTGCTGCACTGAAAGAAGGAAGACTGAGCAGTTTATGTTGCTCAGTTCTCGCCCCTGTGGCCTCTGTTCTAAAGTGTCTCTCAGCCCTTTGGTGCAGATTGTTGAGAGACACAGCGGGTTCTAGGGGAAAAAGATGTATTGGGAAAAATATTCTCCCAATAGAAATGTCATTTACTCATGGTAACACTGGATCCAACTCACTGTACTGTATTTAAACAAATGTACTTTGTATTTATGTGAAGTCTTTGAACCCCAATGATGCTTGATTTTGCTACAGTACAGGAAATACATTCTATATTTTAATTTTTCAGGAGGATCCTGGGAAAATTCTATTTTTGGACTTCTGGGTTTGGTGCTGCTTTACCAGCTTCTTATGTGGCTATTCTTATTGAAAGGAAGAGCAGGTATGTGTTCATCTATCCTTCACCTGCTTCCTCTGCTTTGCTATGAATAAGAGTGATTCATATTAGAGGGTGCAGGAAAACAAATAATACATTAGGAATTTACATTGAGGACCTGTAAAGTATACCAAAACATGATTATTGAGCTTGTGTTGGCAGTTACACCTGAGAAAAAATTAAGCCAGGATAAGTCTTTGGAAATAGCGAGTACTTCCAAAGAGATGGTATTCTGCATAGCTTGTGATACGGTTCTTAGTGCACCATGAACAGGGACAATTAGGGAACTTTTATAGGTCATGCTCATCCTCCACCATTTTCTGTCTGCCTTGCCACTTAATCTCCCTGTGCTTGTCTATGGTAGGTTTGGAACCCTGCTGCTCAAAAGGGGAAGGGATAGAGATGTGTATTCATATCCCTTGCTATTGCCCCCAAGCATTACTGTGAAGCTGGGCTTTGTATGTCTGTTTCAGGAGCAAGAGAAAGGCAGTTCTGTAGATGTTGCATGTATGTCTCTCAGTCAGTTTATCCACACTATGCAGTTATAGTGGTTTGATTCAAGTTAAACTGCCATGGCTCCATCTTTCAGATGGCTGGGATTGTAGTTAGAATTCTCATCATACAGCAAGTATACAAGCTCAAGTATACTTCCATAAATGTAAGAATTCTGATTCACCAGTAAACTACACCTCCCAGGATTCTTGAGAAGAGAGCTATGCATTTTAAATAGTGTCAAATTGCTTTAACTGTGATGTTGATAACTCTTGTCTTGTAACTGAGGGCCACTGACTGTAAGTGAATTACAGAATGAAGGTCATGTCGTTTTCTGAATGTGCACATTCAGGTCATGTGCACAGCTTTCATAGTGCCACTTTGTTATAATTGAGTGAAGTGTTTTGGAGTCACTTTCCATGGATGGTATCCTGCTTCTGGCAATCATCATGATAGCACAGTAACAATGCTTCCTTGTCTTGGCGGCTGTTGTTGACTTGGCATGGGCAACCAGGCAAATGTGAAGTTAAAAAGCTGTCCTACTGCTCTTCGTCATCTGGGTTTCCCCTGAATGATTTTTTCCCCCCAATTCTTGGCCAAATAATCATACCCCTTTCAGGAATTCTTTGCCAGAATAGATTGTGTAATGGTAACTGAGCGTGTGCAAAATCTGCATCGAGCTACAGAGAAATCCTTGTCTGAGAGATTTACGAGAGGCGAATGCAGCGTGTAGTTAAATGAGAATATTAACTTCTGCAACATGCTGTGATCACCACCAACTTACGTAGTTTTTCTAGGTCATGGAGGGGGACAGAATTAGGTAAGTTCATGGAGAATAGAGAGGGGCCCTAACTGAGTAGAAGAGCACCAGTTTTGCATGAAAGAGTACCAAGATTTATTCTCAGGTGGGGCTACGAAAGAATTCTGCCTGATACCATGGTGAACTACTGCCGTTTGCTGTTGACTGTGCTGATCTAGGTGTACCAAGGGTTTGGCTCAGTATGTTGCTACAATATAAGGTTTTCCATATCTAGTGCTCATGCTGGCTGGGTGCTGCTACCTCTAGTCTTAAAAGCAGCATGCCCCTAAATTCCAATTGTTAGCAAACATCAGCGGGCTGTTGCCCTGAAGTAAAGTCTGTAAGTTTTCGAGTATTATCTGGTCATTTACATGAGAAACAGGATGCAAGGAATGGTTAGGTCTTTTGTCTATCCAGTGCAGCTTTTCCTATGTTCTTAGATACAGGCATTAGTTCACTTTCTGATTTACCGTCATCTTTGTGTTTAAATCCTAGCTTCATGCTTTTTTTTAAAGGATCTTTGCATAGTTGCTAATTCTGAATAATTCATATTCGTTTACAGAAAGTGGAAGCAAAGGTTTGTTGTGATGCATTTTTAAAAATGACAAGGTGGTGAATGTGTTCAAAATAACCCTAAGCTTATTTGATTACAGCATTAGTGTTGATTAGAGATGGGGGTATTCATATACGAATACAAATATCCCCACACAGGTGACGTTAACAAGGGTCCAGCCCATGGGGCCAGACAGTCCACTTACCCATCCGCTGTAGACGCGGATGGCATGATTCTACCAGTGGCTCCACAGCACGCGATCTGTGAGCCACTGTTGGACCTTGCAGCGAGGCTTGTCCTCCTACCTCCTGCCAGGAGTGGTGAGCAGATTGTGTGCTGCAGAGCCACTGGTAGAATTGCGCCGTCCACATCCGTGGCAGATCGGTGAGTGGACCGTGATGTTGGGGAAGTGTGAAGGCAAGAGGAGAAGGAGACGATTGAGGATGAGATGGTTGGACAGTGTCATCGAAACAACCAGCATGGATTTGACCCAACTCCAGGAGGCAGTGGAAAACAGGGGGGCCTGTCGTGCTATGGTCCATGGGGTCACGAAGAGTTGGACATGACTTTACAACTAAACAACAATCTTTAGTGTTGATCAGTACACATATATGGATTAGACCAGAGTTTCTATTTCCTAGAGATAGTTCATTATTCTGACTGGCAGAGCCAAAAGACACCCACCCCACTGCTTTTTTTTTTAATGCCGCAGGTGGGGAGACCTCGTGCAGAATCTTGTTTCAGAGCCAGGGCTTTTAATTAAAATCCTCAAATAAAGGATTTATTTCCCCATTTTGCTTCCGTGATTCAATACACAATGCTGCCTGCCCATACATGCCCCTGATCCAGAGATTTTGACAGTACCCGTCATCTCTGACTCCTGTTGCTCTGTCTGACCTCTGCACATATCCAAAGCATCTGCCTACCCTTCTCTGGTCACCTGCTTCTCCTGAGGCTCTTAAAGATGTCCTCAGGAATGAAGCCCTTCCTTTCCCCTCCTGCTGTGCTCATGTTGTTCTCAGTCGTGGTTGCTCTTTACAACTGAAGGAGTCACTAGAGAGGGTGAAAGGGATTAGGGAGAACAGGTGCAGTATTCATGAACTGCTGTTAAGGCCCTTGAAAGCAAATAGGCCTGGCAAGAAGCTGGCATACAGAGATGCCAGAATTAGAGAAGAATTAGAGAAGGAAAATGGGCAGGCTGTTGATGCTTCATCCACCCTCTCCCAGCCTTTCTTGTCCTCTGTATTCATGCTTTCTTCGTCTGCACTATTTGGCTCTCAAAACACATGCATACAAGTAGGGAGTCCCTGCAGAATTTGCTATGGGATTGACCTTTGGGAAATCCCTACTATCATGGCCTTTCAGGATTGTCCTGCAGATTCTTTCTCTCCTCTTTGCTCAGAGAGAACAGGTTAGCTGCCACCCCAAAGTGACCCTTGAGTGGGGACTTTCAGTTCCTGTGCTTCCTTTCAGGATGAAAGGAATCTGCATTGTCTTGCAGATTCTTTCTCTCCTCTTTGCCCAGAGAGAAGAGGTTAGCTGCCACCCCAAAGTGAACCTTGAGTGGGGACTTTCAGTTCCTGTGCTATCTGTCTTCAGCCCACAGAACCAAACCCATGCCCTTGCTCAGGATTAGTGCTTGAAGGAAGAGTGCCTAAGGAGCCTCGGGTCACAACAGTTGAACTGTGGTAGTGCATCCAAATCTCTGCTCACAACTTCTCCAATCCCAGGTAGCCGGTTGGAGGTTCAGTTAGCCTTCCATTTCTCCAAGGTTGGTAAATTGAGAACCCAGCTTGTGGGGTTGGGAAGAGGGTTTGGTGGCAGCTGTGTGTAGCCTGCATAACTAAATTGTGAATCACTTAGATAGTGCTTTAGGTGCTATGGGATGGTATATAAGCAGCACACTATGCTTTGCTTTGCTTTATGTGCATGTGGGTGAGTGTTGTTATTGTTGTTTGACTTCTGTACTGCCCCAGTAGTTCTAGGGCAGTCTCTGGCCGGTTTACAACAAAATTATGAAAGGAATACTTTGCCCCTCAGTGAGCTAGGTACTTATTTTTCAATCCTTGGAAGGATGGAAGGCTGAGTCAACGTTATTTTTCAATATTGGAAGGATGGAAGGCTGAGTCAACCTTAAGCTGGCTACCTGAATTCAACAAGCTCAAACTCAGGTCTTGAGCAAAGGCTTGACTCCAGTACTGCAGTTTAACCACAGAGCTAATTTTTGCCTCACAACCCCCCCCCCGGCTTTCTAGAGACGATTGGACAAAGCAAAGTGTCTAATTCACAGAGCTAATTTCTGCCTCACAACCCCCCCCCACAGCTTTTTGGAGACGATTGGACAAAGCAAAGTGTCTAATCATTCTCTGCCATCTATCTCATCCCTATTTGCACTTCTGGTGCATGAGATCTACTTTACTTTTTATGTAAAGCAAATGGACAGTATTTGTTGACACTCTTGGAATATGCAGCAAGGTTTATGCCCTAAATCTGTGGCAATTGGCCATGTTCAAGGTTCCTTCTAAGGTGTGGGCTACACACCTATGACTCTGCCCCCCGCTCCGCTCAGCCTTTTTATTTACTTATTTATCTAATTAATTAATTAATTAATTAATTAATTAATTAATTA